GGGAGAGAAATGAGAGGAGAAGAGAAGAGAAGAGAAGAGAAGAGAAGAGAAGAGAAGAGAAGAGAAGAGAAGAGAAGAGGAAATGACAAAAGAGAAGAGAAGAGAAGAGAAGAGAAGAGGAAATGACAGAAAAGAAGAGAAGAGAAGAGAAGAGAAGAGAAGAGAAGAGAAGAGAAGAGAAGAGGAAATGACAGAGAAGAGAAGAGAAGAGAAGAGAAGAGAAGAGAAGAGAAGAGAAGAGAAAGAATGTGTGAGTGTGTATGGATAAGGAGTAAAGGAATGAGTGGGAAATGAAAGGGGAGAAACAGACTGAGACGACAGATCTCTGTGCGCTCAGTGTGACACAGTTTTGTCTGAAGCTGCACTGCAGCCTGAATGTGTGTCAGTAACAGGTGGATATTACAGGCAGTGGGAGATGAAGTGGGGGGGTGATGAGGGGGACAGTGCTGTATCATCGGGGTCAGTCGATAAGCGACCAAGCTGGACACTCATTTATAAGAGGGCAAGAGTTCACACACACACCCACACACACACACACACACACACCCACACACACACACACACCCACACACACAGTGTGACCCAGTAACCAGCTCAACCCACAGATTCATTCCAAACAACTACACTACTGTATCTGAGCTCTCTCTCTCTCCCTCTCTCTCCCTCTCTTTCCCTCCCTCACTCTCTTCTCTCTCTGCTTCTCCTCTCTCTCTCCATTTGTCTGTTTTCTCTCACTCTATCTCTCTTTTTCTCCTTCTCACTTCTTTTCCTCCTTTTGTCTCTCTCCCCCTTTCTCTCTTGCTCTTCCATGTCTCTGCCCTTTTCTCTCTCTTCATTTCTCTCTCTCTCTCTCCCTCTTTCTTTCTCCTTCCCTTCTGTTTCTTTCTCTTTTTTGCTCTCTCTGTTTTCTCTCCCTTTCTCTCCTTCTCTCTTTCCATTTCTGTCTTTGGTCTCTCACTCTATCTCCCTTCCTCTCCTTCTCTTTCTCACTCTCTCCCCTTTCTCTCCTTCTCTCTCTGCCTTTCTCTTCTTTTCTCTCTCACTCTCTCTCCCCCTTTTTTCTTCTCTCATATCGTTGTCCCTTTCTCTCTCTATTTCTCTCTCTCTCTCTTATCCTCTCTCCCTTTGTCTCCTTTCCTCTTTCTTCCTCTTTCTCTTCTCTTTTACCTTCTCTCTTACTTTTCTTGCTCTCTCCCTTTCTCTCCCTATTTTTTCTCTCCTTCTCTCTCCACTTCCTTTACTTTTCTCTTTCCTTCTATCTCCAGTTTTCTCTCCTTCTCTCTCCCTCTCTCTCTCTCCCTCTCTCTCCACTTTCTCACCTTATCTCTCTCTCTCTCTCTCTCTCTCTCTCTCCTTCGACAGGCCCTTATTGTCTCCTGATCCATTTCTGTGCACTTTTGTGTCTCTTCACAACTCACTGCTACTTATTCACTCAGACCAACATCTGAACGTCTCTCGCAGTGTGTGTGTGTGTGTGTGTGTGTGTGTGTGTGTGTGTGTGTGTGTTCGAGAGAGAGAGAGAGAGAGAGAGAGAGAGGGAGAGAGGGAGATTGATCCGGCTGGAAGCAGCGTGTGAAAAAGCGGGGGAGGGAGAGAGAGAAAGAGAGGGAGAGAGAGAGAGAGAGAGAGGTAATAATAAGACCCTTTCATAATGATTAAAGCCTTCATTAATTTTTCATCACAACCTGCCGTTTGTGGCTAATGGCCTTTGTGAGGTACACAAGCAAACAATGGCCAGCCGCGCGAGAAAGGATTTTATCAGGCCGTGAGAGCGCTCGGCTCGGCTTTACCTAACACCCCCCCCAACACCACCACCACCGCCGCCGCTGCCTCTCCTTCTCTCCTTTCTCTCACTCGCTCTCTTCTCTCTTTTCTTCTCTGTGTCTGCAGTTCAGGAGGAGCGCCGGGCCGCCTTTGTTTGTACGTTTCATTTAAACACAGCGCCGGGATAATGTGCTACTGTGGCCACTTACTAATGGACTCAGCTCTCTGCTCAGTACTGCCCAGTTTCAGGTTTTTACCTTCTTCAAGGGTTCCTTAGTAAAGGCAGTGGTTCTATTAGAACCATGAGTTCTATACAGATCCATTTCAAGCTTAAATGGTTCTGAAAAAGTAAAGAAAAACCTTCTATGAGTAGGTGTGCCCAAAAAACTATGGTTCTTCAAGGGTTCTTTAGCAAAGGCAGTGGTTCTATTCAAACCATGAGTTCTACACAGAACCATTTTAAGCTTAAATGGTTCTGAAAAAGGAAGGTAAAACCCTTCTATGAGTAGCTGTGCCCAAAAAACTATGGTTCTTCAAGGGTTCTTTAGTAAAGGGACTGGTTCTATTAGAACCATGAGATATACAGAACCATTTCATGCTTAAATGGTTCTTGGTATGGTGAAATAGTTCTTCAGATTGATGGAGAACGTGCTGTGGATGGTTCTATGTAGTATCCTTTTCAAAGGAAGTACCAAAAAGTACCATTAGCATAAGGTTCTGGAGAATGTGCTGTATATGGTGTATGAAAATGCGCTACATAGAACCATTTTGAAAAAGGTGCTACATAGAAACATGTGCAAAACACATTCTTCATCAATCTGAAGAACCATCTCACCATGCAAATAACCATTTAGTCATGCAAAGGGCTCTTTGAGTGTTAATGGTCATATAGAACCACTCTTTTTACCAAAGAACCCTTGAAGAACCATCTTTTCTGACTTTGCCTGTGTCCCCTATTATTGTAAAAAAGTGGAAAATATGAAAAAATAAGGGAACCCTTCTATGAGTAGGTGTGCCCAAACTTTTGACTGGTACGTTGCAGAACCTTGGGGTCATTTCTGGCTCCACTTTTCCATTTTCCTTATTAGAACATTCCCAGCGATCTCTGCTCTAAAGTTACACCATAAAACATGAGGCTTTTTCAACGATCCACCCCAGAGGTTAAAAGTGACGCTCTAGCTAAAGAACCCGTTCCCACGTAGCATCAGCCTGCTGAAGATGCCGTTAGCTCTGTTGCTACAGGTGCTCTTCGACATGGTGTTGAAAGGCGTCAATATGAAGAAGGACTTGATGTGGGAACCCCTGAGAAAGCCATACAGCCTGGAGCTGCAGCGATAGATTAAGGAAAGAGAACCGAGCGGGAAATACTGGGGGAAAACAGAGTCAATACGAGTTTTCTAACTTATCAGAAGTTGTAAACTTTGGTGCAGGGCCTCGCTTTAGAAACACAGGTGTTCCCACATGTACCACATGCACAGAGCACAAAGGGATTAGCTCGATTGTATGTAAACAGAGCATGTTTGAATGCTTGCTTTGTTTGGCTGGCTTGCATTCTTCTCATGTTTGACAGCAGGATCAGCTCCACACAAGACTTTAAGCCTTAGAAAGTGAGAGTTATTACTGCCGCTATGCTATACTATTCACGATTTGACCACATTTAATCACAGTTACGTAATAAATTACATTAATGTTTACATTCTGATTTATATTCATATTTATATATCTGTATTAATGTCTGCAGAGTGAATGATTCTGGACCCACAGAGAAAATGGGGCTCCTAACAACCACCTGGAAGACCTGGTCGACACCAAAACTGCCCCCATCAGATAAACAGCACTTAAAGCTTTCATCTCTGAGAGAGAGGAGAAAATCAAGCTGCTCCAGATCTGAAAACATCCACAGGTGTTTCTGTCCATCCTTCCACTGTGAGAAGACGACTCAGCGCTGTGGGTCTGAAAGGATGTGTAGCTGATCAAGAAGAACCTCACTGAGAAAAGGAGACGGACACATCAAACAAAGAAGCTGAACGATGGACTGACCACCCCAGAGTCCAGACCTCAACACCACTGAATGTGTTTGATTACTTCAGAAATGATCAACCAGCTTCTAAGACTGAACTTTGGAGGTGTGTCTGCAGATTCTTTGAGAAACTGAAAGTGAGTCTCTTAAAAGAAAGGAAGCTACAGAGCCCTGCTGGTGACAATAATGCGTGGCCACGACTTACTAAGGTGTGGGAACAAGATAATTAAGTCATGGCCATGACTTAGTAAGGTGTGGGAGTGCAACCATGGTTTATTAAGCTTTGGTCAAGGCTTAATTATCTTATTCCCATGCCTTATTAAGTCATGGCAATGCATTAGGATCTCGTTCCCATGCCTTACTAAGTCATGGCCCACACCTTACTAGGTTGTGGCCACAGATTATTGTTATACATACGTCACGTCACCAGCAGGGCTCTGTAGGAAGCTGTCATAGAGGTGAAAAGTGGACATTAATACTAGAAAAGTGATGTTATATTTTGATTTTGTTCAGTTTTCAGGTTAAATATATGTTTTCTGCTTCTTTCTGACGCTGAAAAATGAATAACTCACACTTAATTGGCGTTTTTGACTGAAAACAAAGTAAACTGTATGTACCTGCGCAAGCATCGCACTGTCACACTCGCATACAGCAGCTGATTATTCTCACTGTTCATGAAGAATTAGCCTACAATTAGAGAGGCGAGAGGAGCAGCGTGCAGTGGCACTGCAACACATACGCAAACTGGAGCCCAGGCAGCGTATATGGAGCAGCAAAGACGCGTCCCAGAACAATCAACCTGTAATGAATATGCAAAGTGCTCCAAACAATGACTCCAAACAGCTGATGCCTCTACCACTCAGACAAAGGCCAGACTTTATCAGCACCTTCCCTCATTACTGACATTTGGCAGTCAGACATGATGGAGCCTGACAGGAGAGTGACAGAGAGAGAGAGAGAGAGAGAGATAGAGTGACAGAGATGCTCCTCGAAACCCTTCTCACCTCCCAGTCAGCCTCACAGCTCTTTCCGACAAGCACTGAGGCCTTGACGGTAATTACACGCACATACATGCATATGCACTCAAACAAGCCTTCTGCGGTCACGCCGCTGACCTCCAGCCTGCTAACGGTCAGTCCAGGTGGGCATCAGACGGCTTTTGTCTTTATGATTATGTTTGTGTGCGTGTTGGTGACGGTGTGTGTCCAGCGCTCACCCTCCGGCTCGCTCTTGATCAGCTCCTCCATCTTGCGCTGCTTCAGCGTGTCCACTACGTCGGCCAGGCTGCCCTTGCGCCTCTCCGGAGTGCCCAGAGCAGTGGCCGAGCCGGGCTCGCTGCCCGGCCGCCCGGAGCCGTCGTCCGGCTGCTGCTGCTGCTTACTGGGTGAGGTAGACGAGTTGTGCTGGGTGTAGGGGCTCAGGGCCAAGCCTTTACTGCTCTCCTGCTCCTGAGAGAGAGAGAGAGAGAGAGAGAGAGAGAGAGAGATTCACAATTTAGGACAATGGCACTTCAAATCGACATCTTTTGAGTCTCGATGCGTTTAGTAAAGCTCATATATGTGATGGTTCGGTGACACAAGAACTACATCAGCAAAGTATCTTCAACTGAACTGATTTGAACTGAAACAAATTGAACTAAACTAACCTGGACTGAAGCAAACTGAATCAAACAGAGCTTTACTGAAATAAAATGAACTGAATCTAACCAAATCGCAATTAACTGGACTGTGCTGAATTGAACTGAACTAAACCGAATTCAACTGCACTGAAATTAACCGAACTGAATCAAAAATTGTCTGAATTGAACTGAACTGTACTGAAACAAACTGAACAGAATCAAACAGAACTGAACTAACCTGAACTAAAGCAAACAAACCAAGCTTAAGTGAACTGTCCTGAATTGGACTGGACTAAACTGAATTCAATTACCCTGATCTGAACTGAACTGAAATTAAACAAACTGAATCAAACTAAGCTCAACTGAAATTAAACAAACTAAATTTGAATGAACTGAAACTAACTGAACTGTACTGAATTGAATTGAATTGAATTGAACTAAATGAATTCAATTGCCCTGAACTGAACTGAAATGAAATAATCTCAATCAACCAGAACCGAACTAAGCTGAACTGAAGCAAACCGAATCAAACAGAGCTCTACTGAAATGAAATGAACTGTGCTGAATTCAACTGAACTGAATCGAATGAATTCAATTGCCCCGACCTGAACTAAACTGAAGTGAACTGAGTCTAAACTGTCTGAACTGAACTGAATCCAAGAGAACTGAACTGAAATTAAACAATACTGAACTGAACTGATTCAAACCGAGTCAAATTTAAACGTAAGGAACTGCACTGAACTGAAAAGCAGTGAACTGAACTGTACTTACTAACTGAATCGAACTGAACTGTTCTTAACAGAACTGGATCAAACTGAAATGAATCGAATTTAACTGGAATTAACTGTACTGGCATCTCCCTCTCTCTCTCTCCCTCCCTCTCTAACAGACTGTGTGGCTCGCAGCCTCCTAAGATGAGGCTTAAAGCGGTAACGATTTCCACTTCCTCTCAGATCAGGGCAGATCGTCTTCTGTTCTGAGGGATGAAGTTTTGCTACTTTCAGTCGGTTCCAGATACTCAAGAACAGCCAAGTTTCTCAAGCAGAAACTGTTTCTTCTCTCTTTGGCTCGAGCGAGTTTCCAGTGAAGAGGATCACCAGGACGGCAGCTGCTACATCGGCCGTCATCTTCAGCCCTGATCTAACGTTCAGCAGCGGTTCCAGTTTTATTCGTTTCTCAGCAAAGCTGCGCTGGAAAAGCAGTTCGATGATACAAACCAAGTAAAACGTTGCTGTAATATGTTGACACACACACTCACACTCGTGCACCTGGTGCCTGGCTTTGACCCAGCTCACCGGATCTCCTTTGTGAGGTTTAATTACAGAAGGACCCAGGTATTTGCAGACAGGGTCAATAGTCCATGTCCATTAATCAGAGTTAATCTTTGGCTAATCAGCCTCTATTATCTACCGCACCACCTGCGTGACAGACAACGGCTTCAGCGAATTAGACAATAGCTTAATCCCCAAAGAGGCCGAGCTTAGCGCCGCATGTTAAAAGCCAACGTCGTACAACACTGGACATTGCACTCCGGTCCAGATACTGTTTGACCAGCACAACCAAAACATTTATCTATGAGACATGAACAAATAAGAGCCATACTAACACATTTCACTTGACCCGAAAGCTTCAGTGTGCGTTTTCGTGATTATATAAGAAGCCCCTCTGCCTGACGCTGGCTTTTATTAATGAAGTGTGCATTGCATGTAATGATTAACTCTGGACAGTGGACTGAGGCCAGCTGGACAGTTTGGTTGGATAAGTTTGCCCTAAAATTGGCCTCAGTAAAATGTCATTTCTGATAAATCAGCCACTGAGACGTCAGCAAAGTCATTCACAGTGTTTTGATGTGATATGATGCATTGTAGAAAAAACAACTGTGGTGATAGGAACCAGGGGTCATGATATCTACAACGCAAATATAGTCATTTTATTCACTGTCTGGAGTATCGTCTGCGTTTATATGGGATGTTGATGATGGTGAAATAGTGAAAATCTAAAAAAATCAGGTTTTCTTTGGGGAAAATATTGCCTAACAATGTGCTTCTTCACCATAAACAGGTAAAAATATATATTTTTCAGGCCAAAACCTTCTCAAAATTATCATACAACAATGTTTCAGTCATCACGCAAAGTATTTGCAAACATTTAATGTAATAACTTTCCAAGCTTTTAGAGGTGGATGTCTGGTTCCTATCACCACCACTGTGAACAGCTCTGACTAAATTTCCCTACACTCTTAAAAATCATGGTTCTTCAGGGGTTCTTTAGTAAAGAAAGTGTTCCTGTATAGAACCACGAACACTCAAAGAACACAAAAAGGGTTCTGCTACTATGATGATGTCAAGCATTTACCAATAGTACACCCTTTTTTGGTGCTATACAGAACCCTTTTCAAAGAGGTGCTATATAAAACCATATACAGCACATTCTCCATCAACCTGAAGAACCCTTTCACGATGCAAAGAACCCTTTAATCATGCAAATGCTTAATGAGCCTTCACGGTTCAATATAGAACCATTTTCCTTACTAAAGAACCCTAGAAGAACCATCATTTTTTAAGTGTGTAGAACGGAGTATTTCACACCAAACCATTCGGAATGGCTCTGTTTACATCTTATCCATTTAATTAAGCTGAGATTTTGAAAAATGGATGGAATTCCCCTTTAATACACAATGCCTATTCTATTTTGTTCATACAGTATATAGATTATATTCTGTGTTATATGTTTGGAAACCTATTGGAGTGAACGAACGTCTATAAATGCTGTAATAGATGAAGCTATTAAGGTTTTATGCGCTGAAAAATATCATGTTTTCATGCAGCATGGCTGCTGTGGGCTTTTCGTAGCACCAATCTGTTGAGGAGTTAATTGTTATGTTTATATGAAGCACAATATTGTGACACAAAGCTACTTTACCGTACATTATATGTAAAAAAAACAGGATATTTGATAAAAAAAGGTTTGATTTAAAATGACCGTTTGGAGCAGAAGCAGTGCGTCAGTCAGAAAGTGCCAGGAAAAACTATGAGAACAACAATTCTTTTTAATTAAACGTTTCACACACCACGTTGTATCCATTCAAACAAGACCGATTACAGCCTGTTTGTCCAGCCAGGGGTCCAGATCCGCTCTGATGAGTGAGCAGGACCGTCGTCAGGAGGCTGAAGCCTACGTACAACAATTCAAGCATAAAACTGTGTAAACCAAGTACACCTACAACTACGCCTTTCATATCACTACCTCATCCTTTATACGTCAAAATGAAAGCACAGAAACAAATATTATTACCAATAGGATCAAAAATACATACATATTCAGCACAGAGATTCAGTCTTCTTGCCTTTTTTTGTCTTTCCATTGCATGACTAAAATTCTTAGTCTGATATGTAAATATTTTACCCCAATATTAATAAATATTACTGATAGTTAAGAGGAAAAAGGAAGGACTGTAATAAGAAGAAGTGTTGAAAACAGTCCAGGACACTTTAGTGCTTCTTTTTTTGGTCATTACTGGCTGTAAGTAAACAAAGTATCTGATCACTCCTTTCTTTTTCATCTGAATTTGCACCTGATTTGAACCTGCAGTCTGTAGACAACAGAGCAAAATCTTCAATACCTACGTCCCTCCTGAGCCTCTTCGAAAGATCTTAATGAAACACAGCTGATCGTCAAGTGATTATGGCTTCATTTATAGCAATACTGATATTACATTGTCTTGTCACCACACCTATAGGAAGTAAACTGTCACTGGGGTGGTCCCCTTACGTCACTGGGTGGCCCCTTTCATGTCACTGGGGTGGTCCCCTTAAGGGTGCGTCTTCAGTACCTCTAGTTACGGAATACAATTTTACCACATTACGTTGCAGCTGTATTTTTAAATAGCATTCTGTCCATTCAATACTGGAGAACCATGTCACCATGCACAGAATCATTTAAGCATGCAAATGGTTCTGTATAGGACTCATGGTTCTAAATTGAATCATTTCACCATGCAAAGAATCATTTAAGCATCCAAATGGTTCTATATAGCACCCATGGTTCTAAATTGAACTATTTCAATCATTTAAACGAGCAAATGGTTCTGTATAGGACTCATGGTTCTAAACAGAATCATTTCACCATGCAAAGAATCATTAAAGCATCCAAATGGTTCTATATAGCACCCATGGTTCTAAATTGAACTATTTAAATCATTTAAATGAGCAAATGGTTCTGTATAGGACTCATGGTTCTAAACAGAATTGTTTCACCATGCAAAGAATCATTTAAGCATGCAAATGGTTCTGTATAGGACTCATGGTTCTAAACAGAATCGTTTCACCATGCAAAGAATCATTAAAGCATTCAAATGGTTCTATATAGCACCCATGGTTCTAAATTGAACTATTTCAATCATTTAAACGAGCAAATGGTTCTGTATAGGACTCAAGGTTCTAAACAGAATCATTTCACCATGCAAAGAATCATTTAAGCATGTAAATGTTTCTATATAGATCTCATCGTTCTAAATAGAACTGTTTCAATATGCAAAGACTCATTTAAATATGCAAATGGTTCTGTATGGGACAGATGGTTCTAAATAGAACCATTTCACCCTGAAATGGTTCCGTATAGGATCTAATTGTCCTAAACAGAACCATTCCCTTTACTAAAGAACTCTTTTTGTGTGTGGGCCCCTTTTTTTGACAGTATACTTGAACACATGCTCACACACCTTGTCAACATAATCAATAATTCATCCCGGGGGCTTTTCCCGATACTTGGAATAAAGCAGCCCCCCGCTGTCAGAAGGGGGGGTCCGATTCACACGCGTTTGAACATTCA